GGCGTGCTCTGCAGAGCCCCATGGGCAGCACCAGTGAGTCAGCAATGGGAGGAAGTGACACGAGGGCACAGCTGTCTCTCCGGCTAATTTTTGATGCAGCAATCCCACTTCTGGGTATCTACACAAAGGAAAATAAATCATAAAAATACCTGCAATTTTGTTTATTGCAGCACTATTCACAATGGCAGAGACATAATCAACCTGAATGTACATCAGTGGACGAATGGCTAAAGAACATGTGGTATATGCCCATTGGAAGACTCCGAGGGTGAGAGGGAGGTGAGGGGTGAGAAATAACTTAATGTGTAATGTACACTATTTGGGTGATGGGTACACTAAAAGCCCAGACTCCACTACGTGACAGATCCATGTATCAAAACTGCATTTGGCCAGGCTCACGCCTATAATCCCAACACGTTGGGAGGTCAAGGCCAGGCAGATCACTTGAGGTCAGGAGTTCTAGACCAGCCTGGCCAACATGGTGAAACTCCATCTCTACTAAAAATACAAAAATTAGCCTGGCATGGTGGCGGACACCCGTAATCCCAGCTACTTGGGAGACTGAGGCAGGAGAATCGCTTGAACCTGGGAGGTAGAGGTTGCAGTGAGCCAAGATCATGCCACTGCCCTCCAGCCTGGATGACAGAGTGAGGCTCCATCTCAAAACAAGACAAAACAAAACCAAAAAACTGCGTTTGTACCCCTTAAATTTAAACAAAAATTAGTGTTAAAGTTTGATTAACTTTATAACAGTTAGGCTGAAGTAAATATTAAACTTTCAAATGTGTCATGTTATTTGGCAAATAAATAAGGAAAAATATGAAAATAAACTTTATGATGTTATTCTATGCTTATGTTACTATTAATACATAGTTTTAGAAACTTTGCTTTTCAGTAGCTGACCACTGCCGGTTTTCCAGGGCTTACAGTACAGCAAGCATCCTGCTCAGCATCCCATTCTCTCCTCCCACACTCACCTCTCACACAGTTGCTATTAACGGCCTTTTACAGATGCAAAACTTGGGAATAAGGTGGTTATTTGCTTAAGGTGAAACCACTAGCCCGGCATCAAGCTGAGGCTGCAGCTGCCCTCTAGCCGCCTTCGGGCAGCTCTGACTCCAGGCGGTTCTCCAGTCACCAAAGCCCCTAGAGAAGACCCAGGACCGTGAGGGCAAAGCAGGACATCGGCCCTGGCACGGAAGAACTTTGAGCCCAGGCTGGTCAAATACATATGCGAATAGTTTAAAAAAATAGTTGAAGGCAACATAAATCTCTAGGAATTGATGGTGACGGTGGGCGGGCGCCGGCCAGGGACAGCTCCGCAGAGCTGAGGCTGGGCTCGGAGCGGCCACCGCCGACCGCTGCATCAGTCACCCGTGCCAGCGCCTGGGCCTTGCTTTTGACCTTTTTCAGAAAGGGACGAGAATCCTCCCTAGCTTTCTTTCCTTTTCTCTTTCTTTTGTTTCTTTATTTTTTGAGAGGGGGTCTCGCTCTGTCCCCGGGCTGGAGTGCAGTGGCGCGATCTCAGCTCACCGCAAGCTCCGCCCCCCGGGTTCCCGCCATTCTCCTGCCTCAGCCTCCCGAGTAGCTGGGACCACAGGCGCCGCCACCGCGCCCGGCTAGTTTTTTTTTTTTTTTTTTTTAAGTAGAGACGGGGTTTCACCGGGTTAGCCAGGTTGGTCTCGATCTCCTGACCTCGGGATCCGCCCGCCTCAGCCTCCAGCCTCCCAAAGTGCTGGGATTAAGGCGAGAGCCACCGCGCCCGGCCCCCTCCCTAGCTTTCTAATCAGGGACATGATGACGGGAATATTTCTGGAGCAGTGTAAGAAGTGGGACAGCGTGAGAGCGAGGCCAGAGGGAAGGTGACTGCAGACAAGTAGGAGGCGACGCGTTCACCGCCTGAGTAACAGACGGTCATGAGCATTTGTCATCTCGCGGGTTTGGTGGGTCAGGCCCTCGGGGGCAGCTCTGGCCGGGATCCCGGCCCGGGCCTCGCACGAGGTGGCAGCGGAGACGGCAGCGGGACCCGCAGCCTCCGGGGGCTGCACCCGGCTGGAGGATGGCGTCCGCGGTGGCCACTCTGAGGGCCCCTCCAGGGTCCTCCAAGCCTGGCAGAGGGACACGTGCGGCCGGCGGGGCTCGCGCCACGCATCTCTGGACTAACCGCCCCCAGCCCCCAGGCCCCGCGGCCAGGCCTCCGCAGCGGGCACGCGACACGTGGGCGAGGTCAGGAGTGGCAACGCCAGGGACGAGTACGCGCAGCAGAGCAGGGCAGGGAAACCCAGAACTCAGCCGAGACGCCGGAGGAAGGTGCGATGTCCCAACAGCCCCAGGGAAAAGGCAGGAGGAAGACGTCGGCCGGGGACTCGGGCCTGTGTTTGGAAAATGGGGGCAGCACTCACCAGAAACCGGGAAGGACAGCAGTGCGGCGGGACGGGAGACGCAGGGGCGCCTCTGGGAGAGGCTGCGACCCCAAGAGGTGGCACACACCTGTGGTCCCAGCATTTGGGGACAAGGCTGAGGTGCAAGGATGGCTTGGGCCCGGGAGTTTGAGACCCCGCCGTTAAGAAAAAAAAAAGAAAATACTGGCCGGGCGCGGTGGCTCACGCCTGTAATCCCAGCACTTTGGGAGGCCGAGACGGGCGGATCACGAGGTCAGGAGATCGACACCATCCTGGCTGACACGGTGAAACCTCGTCTCTACCAAAAACACGAAAACTCAGCCGGCTGTGGCGGCGCCTGTGGGCCCAGCTCCCCGGGAGGCTGAGGCAGGAAAATGGCGGGAACCCGGAAGAGGGAGCTTGCAGTGAGCCAAGATGGCGCCGTTCACTCCAGCCTGGGCCACAGAGCGAGACTCCGCCTCAAAAAAAAAAAAAAAAAAAATTAGGTGTGGCGGCGCGCGCCTGTGGTCTCAGCTACTCTTGAGGCTGAAGCGGAAGGATGACCTGATCCCAGGAGGCGGAGGCCGCGCGCTACTGCACTCCAGAGCGAAACCCTGTCTGAAAAAAACAAAAGACTGAGGCCGAGAGGCAGCGAGTTCACTGCCATCCATTCCTGCCGGCGGGAGTCCCGGACCCCGCGCACGAGCGGCACCGGCCCTCAGGGCCGCGGCCTGCGGGCTTCGACGGGAGCAACAGGCCGCCCGAGGGGGCGTTTCTTCCCAGTGCGGGGCGCGGCGCCCCACAAACACCGCTGGGCCACGGAGGCCAAGCCCTGCGCAGTTTTCCCAAGCGAGCTCCCTGCTGCCTGATCAGACCACACTCACCTCCGTGCAGATGCGCGTTTCGCGGACAGAGCTGCACGTCCGCCCTGAGTCCATTTCTGGCCAGCGGGGCAGGGCGGCCTCTGGCTGCTGTTCAGTCGCGGCTGGAGCCGCCTGTCTCCTCTTCCTCTTCTCACCACTGCGCTTGACTCCTTTTCAAAACAAAGAATGAACCTATTTCCAACCAACACAGACGTTACGAAGACGAACAACTTTACACTAATTAAAATCAACTACTACTACTTCCTCGGTTTAAGAACTGACCACCTGGCCGGGCGCGGTGGCTCACACCTGTAATCCCAGCGCTTTGGGAGGCCGAGACGGGCGGATCACAAGGTCAGGAGGTCAAGACCATCCTGGCTAACACGGTGAAACCCCGTCTCTACTAAAAAGTACAAAAAACTAGCCGGGCGAGGTGGCGGCGCCTGTAGTCCCAGCTACTCGGGAGGCTGAGGCACGAGAATGGCGGGAACCCGGGAGGCGGAGCTTGCAGTGAGCTGAGATCCGGCCACTGCACTCCAGCCTGGGAGACAGAGCGAGACTCCGTCTCAAAAAAAAAAAAGAACTGACCACCTCAAGAAAAACTTCTTAAAATTTATATATAGTGCATATATATAATATATATATATATATAAAAAAGAATAGCCACAACGCACGCAGGTGCTTGTTTTTACCCCACTTTGGTCACCAAAGGTTTGAAGTGGCTGAAGTCTGACATTTAAAACTGTCTAAAAAATGTGATCGTACCCCCAAAATATGCAGGGACCTGTGCGTGCCCCACCCAGTGTGCGACCCTTTCTCTCCAACCCTGCTTCAGAGACGGTTTCCAGATCCCACGTTTCCTTGTTTCCGTCTAGGGCAGAACCACCAGGTTGACAAGTTCTAGACCATTCTCACTGGGACATTACAGAGCTGCTGCGGGAGCAAGAGGGGCCGCTCAAGGGCGCTGCGTTCCGGGGAGGGCGGCACAGGGACGGCGCACGGGCACCCTGGCCAGAGGCCCCGCTGCCTTCGGGACCAGGGAGGCAGGGGCCGCACAGCTCCACTCAAGATGACGCTGCTTAAACGCAGAAAAAAGACACGAAACGGCTTATCCAGCATGAGCCTATCTGTGTTTAATAAAGGAAGGGAAGAGAAAGGCCACACATACACTTTCATAAGCACAGAAAACTTCCGGCAGGCTTTGCGAACAAGAGCCACTGGCAGCGCGGGAGTCCTTTACCCTCCAACGGACTCCAGACTCCTGTACTTTCTTTTTTAACCATAAGCATGGGTTGCTTTTATATATATTTTTTTAATTAATGTTGTTTTAAACAACTTTGATTTAAACATGGTGGGAAAAAGAACTTTGGCGTTGTGCCTGCAAGGAGAAAAACAGGAACTCAAACCTCGGATGCTGTGAGGGATCCAAGGCCTCCAGCCCCAGCAGGTGAGGCTGGCCAGCAGCGAGGCGGGGCCTCCAGCCTGGGCGCAGGATGTCCCCAGGGCAGGGATAGGCTGGAGGGGGCCGGCACAGCCTGCAGAAAAGGCCCGGAGACCCCTGGACCCCAGCCCTCTCCCCGCGTGAGGAGCCTCGTCAGAAGAGGCTTAGCCACTCGAGGAAAGGCATTTGGAGGCCAAGAAGAAAGCCATGGCCCCAGGCCCGGTGAGCCCCACAGTGAGAGCCCGCCCGAGGCCAGCAAAGGCGGGGGTGGGGGAAAGGCCGGAGGGCGGCAAAGGCGGGGGTGGGGGAAAGGCCAGCGTCTGTGGACGGGCCTGAGTGGAGGACAACGCGGGCGGGCGGGGGCGGCACGGGCCACCTGCAGGGAGAGAAGGGCCGGGGCCACCATGGCAGGCAAGGTGATGGGCGCCACACCTACGGGACATAGGCGAGGGCCTCGCGCCCTCCATCCACGCAGACGGCGGCGGCGGGGCTGGCTGGGGCAGCTCCCTGTTGCACGCTCATGAGGGGAGGGACGTCCAGTGCCGGGGTCACCTGCGACCCGCGATGAGTCCAGCCCGATCCTCCTCCCCGGCCCTGCGCGCCCTCGCAGCCAGACGCGCTCTTCCGTCCGGTCATTGCTCGTCCTCTCCTCACCTTCTCACCTGCTTCTTTCCTTTCTTCTGGGAAGCATCTGCGGAGACACCGGGGTCAGCTCGCAGACGGTCAGAGGACGCACCACACACCACACTCAAGACACAAACCACACTCATGACACACCACACACACCACACACATGCATATCTTACACACATGCACACACCACACACATACACATCACACATATTACACACATGCACATCATACAGACATGCACACAGCACACAGCACACAATACACATCACACACATACACAGCATACACACATGCACACTCACCACACATACACATCACATAACAGCACACACAAATCACACATATGCACATCATACAAACATGCACACACGACACATACCACACACATATACACATCACATACACAGAGCACACACACACCACACATATACACATCACACACAGCACATACTTCACACCACACACACCCCACATACCACACACATATATACACATCACACATACCCCACACCTATGCACATCACACACAGCATACACACACCACACACACACATCACATATATACATACAACACACATAGTACACACAGCAAATGCAACACGCCACACACAGCACATGCACACCACACACACGGCATACACACACCACACCACATACACTTATATACATACCATGCACACTCCACATACCGCACTCACCACACACACATATATACTCACCACACACCACACACCACACAGACACAGGCCGCCAGGCAAGGGAGCGCCCTACAGCCGCTGAACCCAGGATACGGCCACGAAGGAGGCGAGACCCAAGGCCGCCCCCTGGCTCGGGTTCAAGGAGAGCAAAGCGTGGCTTCAGTGATTCGGGCAAAATCAGCACGAAGTTCTTAAGGATCCCTGGAGCCACACACACAGGGGACAGATGGGGACGAGCGGCCCAGAGCAGTGCAGCGCAGCCTCTGGCAGGAGGTGCATCCTCCCCAGGGAGCAGGCCCTGGTGGCTGCTGGTCATCAGGGCAGGGCCACTAGAAGTCCAGCCGCTGATGGCCCAGGACGCCAAGCAATGTTTGTGAAGCTCAAGGAAACGCCAGAAAAGGCTTTCACTGCTAAAAGGAAATGGCCTTGGAATCTAGATCCTGCCACGAAGCAAGGAATGAAATAGAAAGAAGATGAACTCAGTGATTCTGTGTCACCGTGGAAAACTAAGGAGCTCTGGGCTGAAGAGCCACCAGCAGCTGCATATTTCCGGCGTCCCCTCGCCATGTGCACCATGCACACGGGTCACAAGGGGCTGCAAGGCCTCCCTGGGTGAGTGAATACTGTACTCACCACCATTTATCACAAGCACAGGCGCAGGCCTCCTTAGCTCACAGCGCTTTCAGAGTGTTCGATTATCCACTCGATAGCCGCCCACCCCTGCAACACAGAAAGATTTCAGCACTGAGTGGGCCGTCCCGCCTCCCGCTGCAGACAGCAAGGGACAAGTCCACGGGCTAAACTGCAGAAGGGAAGCGCTGCAGTTACAAGGAGACACAGCAGTGACCTTTCCAAGTGATCTTCACACAGGCAGGCAGTTCCTCCAGCTCAGAAATGGGAAGGAAAACAGTGCCTAAGCGTCACTGCTGTTAGCAAACCAGCGCCCTGCTTAGCTCAGTACAGCAAGTCCTGTCCCTCGCCTCCCAAATCCCAGTGCTGAGGCTGCCCCAGGAGGCCAGGAAAGCCCAGGGCGACACCTCCACACACCCCCAACCCCATCCCCTGCACCTGCCCTCAGGCCGCTCTGCTGTTTCCAGGCACAACACCTCTCCCACTGTGCTAGGGGAAGCAGTGATTCTCTCCTAAGCCTTCAACACAACCCCTAATAAAGTGAAATAAAGGAAAGCCAGTTTGTCCTCACTGAGTTTACCCCAAGTTTTTCACATAAAAGGTCTAAGGTAGCTGTGGCCTCACTGAATATTCCCTTCCTCTTATAATATTTTGTTTGGCAAACATTTAGGGCTTCTGCCCTAAACCGAGCACTGGAAACGATGGATGAGACCCGGGCTCCTACCTCCAGCATGGACAAAGCTCTCCCGCTTTGACCTTCACGGCCCTGCCTCCTCTGAACTGAGCTAAGCTGCTCAAATCACTACTTCTCACATCTGGAGTCCACAAAATTAGATAGACAGGCTCTTCTGTTGGTGATGAGACTAAACGCAAGCCATAAATGGTTTTCCACTGGTTGGCGAGTTAAGCACGGAAGGACATTGGAAAGGGAAGTACAGCCTTAGGAATCACCCACTGATCCCAGAAATGAAGACTCACTTCTGACCCCCAAAAAGGGGGGAAGAGAAAGAGGGAGGGGCACGGGGGACAGACAAAGGGAAGACATGAGCTTGTCAGGTGGGCCCAGGTGAAAAGCAAAGGCCCTGCTCTGGCAAGTGGCATCCTTTAAATGTAAGGAACATCTTCCTCCCAAACATTCAAGCTCTTTCCATCAACTCTGCTGGAGAGGAGGGCAACCCGGACTTCTAGAACATCTCTGCCTCCATTCCAGTGCCTGGGACACAAAGGGAGTGCCATGGATGGCCTCCTGGGATCCATCCTTTCTCCTCTCACCTCCACAAAGCTCACTGCCAAATCCTGCCAGAGACGAGCTGTGAAGACGGCGGCAGGCCCCACGGAAGCATCACCGCTGGACAGGTTCAGCCAAAGCCACGTAATGCCCATCAAATAGGAAATGACTCTAAGTCCTGAATAGCCTACCTGACACTGTTAACACCTGGTATCTCTGATGTTGTGGGTTAGTTTGCTTTGGTAACTGAGCTTATGACATTTGGGCTCTTCGAAGTGGTAGTTGCCTTGGCTGGGTTTACGCTCCAGGTTTACCCCATACTTTCTCTACTGAGAAAGGCTCCCTTGGCTTTCACAGATGCACTTCCCTCAGAGCTGGGTCAGCCTTTCCCTACCCGAGTTTTGAAATGCTGTAGCATTATGAGCTCAGCACAAATGGAGAGCCCCAGCACTCTGGATTTTATTTATTTATTTATTTATTTATTTATTTATTTATTATTTTTTATTATTTTTTTTTAGACAGAGTCTCATTCTGTTACCCAGACTGGAGTGCAGTGGTGGCTCAGCTCACTGCAACCTCCACCTCATGGCTCCAAGGAATTCTCATGTCTCAGACTCCTGAGCAGCTGGGACTATAGAGGTGTGCCATCACGCCCAGCTAATTTTTGTATTTTTAGTAGAGAGGGGGTTTCAGCATGTTGGTCAGGCTGGTCTTGAATTCCTGGCCTCAAGCGGTCCGCCTGCGTTGGCCTCCCAAAGTGCTAGGATTACAGACATGAGCCAACATGTCCAGCCAGGAAGACTTATGAGACTAAAAATGTCATCTTCTTAATCTGGCACTTAACAACTAGAGCACACGCAGGACTTCTAGGATTGAGGTGCATACCTTCTTTGCATTGGATGATATTGTGTTGGCCATTAAACTTTCCAAATAACTACCGAGGCTAATGCCCTTCACGGTGATGATGGCTTCTTGTGTGAGCACGGTCCTGCAAAAGAGCAAGAAGAAAAGGGGCTGACCAGCCCTGAGAGAGAGGAGGGTCTGCCTTGCCCTCACCCTTGGCATTCAAGGTGTCAGTCCCACAGGAGATGACTCACATTTCTGGGTTCTCTGGATGAGGTGTGTACACCAACCTCTCATTAACTGACACCAAATTTGTGAGTGTGATCTTAAAAAGAAAAAAAGGTTTAGATTGTATTTCTCTTGCATTTCTTCCAAAACTGCCTGCCCATACTCTTCCATCCCAAAATTAGCACTTAGTGGGGTCAGAACAGAAGAAACTTTTAGGCATAGGAGATATGACCACATTAAGTCCTAGCAAACCATGGCTTTGCTGTTCCTTCTGGCAACTGTCATCTGTCTTCTTCCCATGTCCCACTCCATACGTGAGCAGGGCTCTGGCCTTCAAGGTACAGTCAAGCTGCCAAAACTACCAGAAGTTGTATTATAGAAAAGGACAAAAAGTCCTGTGTGTTCATATAAGTGAGAGAAAGCTTTTCACCTACCCACGGCAGCCCACGGAGCACTGTCTCCTAGGACTGGATGGGACAGACTCTGAATCTACATGGAGATTGCAGGGTTCTTTTCTCCTCCAGTACCACTTCCTATAAACAGACTAACTCCCTATGAATATTTATACTTTCTTTTTTTTTTTTTTTTTTTGAGATGGAGTGTCACTCTGTCGTCCAGGCTGGAGTGCAGTGGCGCGATCTGGGCTCACTGCAAGCTCTGCCTCCCAGGTTCACACCATTCTCCTGCCTCAGCCTCCCGAGTAGCTGGGACTACAGGCGCCGCCACCACACGCGGCTGATTTTTTTCCCATATTTTTAGTAGAGATGGGGTTTCACTGTGTTAGCCAGGATGGTCTCGATCTCCTGACATCGTGATCCGTCCGCCTTGGCCTCCCAAAGTGCTAGGATTACAGGCGCGAGCCACCGCACCCAATCTACCTTTTCTATCAAAAGCAATGTAAACACTGGAGCTCTAGAGCCACGCTAACAGAATTTTCTGTGGTAACAGTAATGTCCTATGCATGCTGTTTGATGTGATAGCCACAAACATATGCAGCTAATGCACCCCTGAAATGTGGCTCACGTGACTGGGGAATGGAATTTTTAATTTAATTATATCCTAATTAGTTTAAATTTTTTTTTTTTTTTTTCAGATGGAGTTTCACTCTTGTTGCCCAGGCTGGAGTGCAATGGTGCGATCTATTTATAGTAGAGATGGGGTTTCGCCCTGTTGGCCAGGCTGGTCTCAAACTCCTGACCTCAGAGAAGTCAGGTGAGCTGCCCGCCTCAGCCTCCCAAAGTGCTGGGATTACAGGCGTGAGCCACCGGGCCGGCCATAAATAGCTTAAAATTAAATAGCCATGTTTCTGGTGGCTGCCACACTGGACAACAGAGCCCTAGAATTGCTTCATTGTTTAACCCAATTCACCCTCTTCTTGAAACGCCACTTCTGATAAAAGACCATGTTTTAAAAAATTTAAGCAGTGAAAAGCAAATTAACCTTTCTGTAGTGACACTCATTTTTTTCAGTCATCTCTCACTGAATCCCTCCCCCAGCCTCACTGTCCCAGTGCAAATGGTTAGTAGGAAATCTCTCTTCTACTGAGTGCCAGATTATCAAGAGTCTCACGTGTATGGGCATTTCATGCTACAGAAATATCTAACAATATCAATTACAAATTAAACTCTGATTAGCTGTTGTCATTTTATGTGCAATATTTTATGGAAGTCACTGTGTTGCATAAACCTTACTTCTCTGAGGTTTGTTCTTTTCTTTTTTATACGAGAAATGTGAGACTCAGAAAATGCAAATAGCATCCCCAAGTCATCGGGTCATCCAGCGACAGCTTCAGGATGCAAGCACATGGCTTGCTCCAAACCCCATTTCCTTTCCATCAGATTTCACTGGAGCATAAACTGTTCCTTTTTACATACAACTGAGTTTTCTGAAAGCATAAGGTGGAATTTCATAAGTAAATACTGATTTTGGGAGCAGAGAGAACAGAATACATAAGCTGTGAGGAATAGCCAGGGGGCCCCAACAGGCTCCTGTGACTTCGTGCAGCCTGGGACAAGGAGCCAGGAGGACCGGGGACACTGGCAGAGGTCCGGGTAGTACACTAAGGAGCTAGGCTCTATCCTGCAGGTGGCTCAGAGCCTCATCTCAGTACACAGGGACGCACCCACTGCCTTCTACGGAAGGTGCCCCCAGCTGGGCAGAGTGTGGCTGGCCGACAGCACCAAGCATCCTGGCGGGCTACTCCCATGGCCACCTGAGAAGCTCATAGGAGCTCCTGAGGCCCTCGGGTTGGGGCAGGGGAGCTGCGGGACCCAGAGCAGCTCCACTTTGTTTCAAACACTGGGCCTCCCACAAGATGCTGCGAAGATGGGGAGCTGCCCAGGTACCAGTTTGGGTACTTGCATATGGCCGCCTGGATGACCTGCTCCTCAGCCCTGTCCCTACCCACTGTGCCCACCAGCCCTGCCTGCCCCTGGGCCCAGTCGCCCTTCCCTCACTGCAGCGCTGCTGGCCGCACCTTCAGCTTCAGGCTGGACACTCCAGGGCCTGCTGTGCAGGGGCTGTATACTCGGGATGTGCAAAGCAAGCTTACCTCTCTCTTCTCACACCTGCCCCTGATGGGCCACCATTCAGCCTGGTGCCCTAACCAGAGAGTGGAGCTGCACCATGAGCCTGCCGTTCCTCACTCGCCATGTCTTGCACCAGGTGGCCTCTGTTACCTCTCACCTGGACAATTACCTGCCCGGACTACTGGTCTCCCTGGCTTAGGTCCCAACATCCCCCCGCCCTTCCTCCACAAGCCTGCTAAGGTATTCTTCCCAACACACACCCCGGCTACCTCACCTTCCTGCAACAAACTCTCAGTGCCTCCTTCTTACCACAACAATGACCTCCAGCTCCTCTGCCTCTTCTGTGGTCTCGTCCCTGCCCCTCTCCAGCCTCCTCCCTCCCACACTACCTTCCCCTCTTAGTCTCCAACGCCATCTGTTTGTGGCTCTCTAAGGCTCAAGGGTACCCACTGCCAGTGTGTCTGGAGAAGTCCTGTCAGGCTCCCTGTCACCTACCTTCACACAGCCACTTAGGGGGCTCCTGCTCGCTGCCACCTACACAGGTTGTTTAGATGCCGACCGTGGGATGACAGAGCCAGTCAGGAGGGAATATCTTTTAATCCTTGCATTCCCCATCCCTAGCACTGTGCTGGGTACCTGGTAGGCACTTGACACTGTTGGCAGAACCAGTAAATGAGTGGTGGCTAGAGCCAACCATGGCACTGGGGACAGAAAAGGGAGGCCAGATGAGGGCACGGCTGACTTCACCCAGCATAGCCCATTTCTATATTTGCTGAAAATAAGGATTATTTTATGAAATAATTTTCCTAGCCCATGCGTATTCCCCAATATGTTCTTTGCATTTGCATTAGACCAATATACTTTTTTTTCATTGAGAGAAGTGAGAGAGGAATGAAGGGGGGAAGTAGCTTTAAAAATGCCTGTTGGGGCAGGGAGCGGTGGCTCACACCTGTAATCCCAGCACTCTGGGAGGCCAAGGGAGGCAGATCACGAGGTCAGGAGTTCGAGACCAGCCTGACCAACATGGTGAAACCCCATCTCTACTAAAAATACAAAAATTAGCCAGGTGTGGTGGCACGCAGCCGTAATCTCAGCTACTCAGGAGGCTGAGGCAGGACAATTGCTTGAAACCAGGGGTGGAGGTTGCAGTGAGCCGAGATCGCTTCACGGCACTCCAGCCTGGGTGACAGGGCAAGACTCCGTTTCAGGGGGAAAAAAAAATGCCTGTTGGTGGTGCACACCTGTAGTCCCAGCTACTTGGGAGGGTGAGACAGGAGAATCGCTTGAACCCATGAGGTGGAGGTTGTAGGGAGCTGAGATCCACTGCACTCTAGCCTAGGTGAGAGAGACTCTGTCTCAAAAGAAAAAAAAAAGAAAAAAGCAGGTTGGGAGGCATCACTTGAGACCAGGAGTTCGAGACCAGCCTGGGCAACAGCGAGATCCCATCTCTACAAAAATTTTTTTTAAAAAGTAGCCAAGGGTGGTGGCATGTGCCTGTGGTCCCAGCTATCTGGGAGGCTGAGGCGGGAGGATCACTTGAGCCCAGGAGTGTGAGGCTGCATTGAGCTATTGACCACACCACCGCACTCCGGCATGGGTGACAGGGGAAGACCCAATCTTTAAAAAAACAAAAACGTCTGCTGGTTGTCAAGACAGTGGTTATCCTGTGGGGGCTGCCCAAGGGGTCTCAGGGGCTAGTCCATTCTGTTGCTTGACCTGCCTGCTAGTTAAGAGGTGTGTTCTTTGTGACAATTCATCATTATGTGCATTTTTCTATATACTTATTATACTTGAATAAAAAGATAAACTGCTAAATAAATTCAGCCTTTCTATTAAAAATATCAACACCTAGGCCAAAGGTGGGCTGGAAATAGAATTAAACGAAGGCCTTACGCACCACCACCCAGACACACTGAGCCCCTTTCTCATCTGAGGCCATTGCTTACATTGGTGGAACAAAGTTCCATTTTCTTTTCCACTGGATCCACCACAGAATGTTCTTGGATGTATGTCAAAGTCCTACTGGTTCCCAAAATCTAAAAAACAAAGCAAAACTAGCATAGTGGAACGTTAAAAATTCTATTTCATATCACCACCGAATACCACTGCATTTACTAATTAGTTCACTATTCAAGAAATGGTATCATGGGATGCAGCAAGGGACAGAGACAAAACCCCTGTGTCCAGGGCGCTTCTGCTCCAGCAGGTGAGCCACTGAGCAAAGAAATGAATTCCAACAGAGTGGAGCGTCCGGCAGCACTATGCTCCCGGCAAAATACAACAGGCTGCGGGCAGTGGAGCCGGGAGGCCCCTCTGCCGGGTGGGGTCTGGGCAGAGCCCCAAAGAGGAAGGTGCCACCATAGTGCTGGGGTGGAGGTGTTGGGCTGGGGGCGGCAGGTGCAGACCCTGTAGCAGGAGCTGGGCTGACTGAGGGGACTGCGCCAGGCAGGGTGTGGACTGCAGGTGGAGGCGAGATCCGGGCGCCGGGTTGGGGTGAGCCGTGCTCAGACTCGCATTTCCAGTGACCTCTGAGGAAGAGGCCGCGGGGGGCTGAACCATGGTGAAGCCTAACCCCGGTGCCCGAGGATGAGGCTGGCTGCGGACGCTGGGCTTTAGAGGCGATTAAGCCACAGGAGGGGCGTGTGGCGGTGCTAATCCAGCACGCTCGGGCCCTTTGGGAGAGCAGATGGGGATGCCAGACGCCAGGCGCCTGGCAAGCCTCCCGCGCCACCCGATCTTGAGGAAGCCCCCCACTGCCCCCCACCCTGTGCCCCCTGATCTCAAGGAAGAACCCCCTACCGATCCCCCACCCCACGCCCCCCGATCTCGAAGAAGACACCCTCACCGACCCCGTAACCCAAGCCCCCCCCCATCTCGAGGAAAACCCTGCCACTGCCCCCCTACTCCGAGCCCCCTGATCTCGGGAAAGGCCCCCGCCGCCCTCCCACCGCGATGTCAGCCAGAGCAGCAGACGGACCGACGAGGGGAGGAGGGACGCGGGGGAGGGCGGGGGCGGGAGTGGGGGGGTCAGGCGCGTTCGGAGCCGCAGCCCCCGCCCCGCTCACCGCTCTCACGAGGCCGGGCAGCCCCCACTCGGTGCTGAGCAGGCGCAGGCTGTGCAGGCGGCCGCGGCCGTCCACGCGGCGCTGCAGCACGTCCACGCCCAGCACGCTCGGGTTCATCGGGTTCGGGTACTTGCGCATGGCCGCCTGGATCACCGTGTCCCACGGGTGGCTGCGGGGAGAGCACAGGCGGCGGTGAGCAGGCGCCGGGCCGGACCAGGGCGCAGGGTAAGGGGGAGGGAGGCAAAAGCCGCCGCCAGGCCTGCGTCTAGTCTCCTCACTTTAATGAAAGGCTCATCCGACAAATCGGAGGAGTCGCACGAGCCTTCCCCGACCGCTGTCTCCGCACCTGCACGCCGCAGCACCTGGCAGCCCCTTGGCTTTTGTCTGTCTGAGTCAGGGTCTCACCCGGTCGCCCAGCAGGCAGGAGAGAAGTGGTGCCATGAGGATCGCTGCAGACTCAACCTCCCGGGCTCAAGTGAACCTCCTGCCTCAGCCTCCCGCTGGGACTAGGACTACAGGCGTGTGCCACCACACCTGAATAACTTTTTTAATCTTTTTTTTTTTGAGACGGAGTCTTGCTCTATCGCCCAGGCTGGAGTGCAGTGGCAGGATCTGGACTCACTGCAACCTCCGCCTCCCGGGTTCAAGTGATTCTTCTGCCTCAGCCTCCCTAGTAGCTGGGATTACAGGCACCCACCAGCACACCTGACTCATTTTTTTTTTTGGTTTTTTTTTTTTTTTGAGACGGAGTCTGGCTCTGTCTCCCAGGCTGGAGTGACTGGCGCCATCTTGGCTCACCGCAAGCTCCGCCCCCCGGGTTCCCGCCATTCTCCTGCCTCAGCCTCCCGAATAGCTGGGACTACAGGCACCCGGCAGCACGCCCGGCTAATATTTTTAGTAGAGATGGGGTTTCACTGTGTTAGCCAGGATGGTCTCTCGATCTCCTGATCTCATGATCCACCCACCTCGGCCTCCCAAAGTGCCAGGATTACAGGCGTGAGCCATTGCGCCGGCCTTCTCAGATACATTTTCTTTACAGATCCTTTATTTATTTATTTATTTATTTATTTATTTATTTATTTATTTATTTATTTTGAGACGGAGTCTCGCTCTGTCGCCCAGGCTGGAGTGCAGTGGCCGGATCTCAGCTCACTGCAAGCTCCGCCTCCCGGGTTCACGCCATTCTCCTGCCTCAGCCTCCTGAGCAGCTGGGACTACAGGCGCCGCCACCTCGCCCGGCTAGTTTTTTGTATTTTTAGTAGAGATGGGGTTTCACCGTGTTAGCCAGGATGGTCTCGATCTCCTGACTTAGTGATCCGCCCGTCTGGGCCTCCCAAAGTGCTGGGATTACAGGCGTGAGCGCCCGGCCTGTATTTTTAGTACAGGCAGATTTCCCCATGTTGGCCAGGCTGGTCTGGAACTCCTGACCTCAAGTGATCCGCCTGCCTCCGACTCCCAAAGTGCTGTGATTACAGGCATAAGCCACCACGCCTGGCCAACCTTTTTTTTTTTGAGACGGAGTCTTGCTCTGTCACCCAGGCTGGAGTGCAATGGCGCTCTCTCGGCTCACTGCAACCTCCGCCTCCCGGGTACAAGCGGTTCTCCTGCCTCAGCCTCCCTAGTAGCTGGGACTACAGGCGCCCGCCACCACACCCAGCTAATTTTTTTGTATTTTTGGTAGAGACAGGATTTCACTATGTTGGCCAGGCTTGTCTCAAACTGCTGACCTCATGATCTGTCCGCCTCAGCCTCCCAAAGTGCTAGGATTACAGGCGTGAGCCACTGTGCCCGGCCCAACTTTTTATTTAAAATAATTTTTTAGGTCTCATTATGTTGCCAGGTTGGTGTTGAACTCAAGGCCTCAAGCAATCCTCCTGCCTTGTCCTCCCAAAGTGCTGGAATTACAGGCATGAGCCACCACACTCAGCCTCCCCTTGTTTTATTTCCTGCCATCAGAGTGGTTGCAAGTTACCCATTGCTTTCCAGAGCTCTGCACTTATTTAGGCCTGAAACCTGCAGGGGTCAGATGCACGTCTGATGGGAGCCAAGTAAGGAGCCACCACACCTGTTCAGCATGGACCTTCCCCTGGGCTGCTGAGGGGTTGCTAGCAAGTCACTTCATCGCCCTAATTGTCCTAATCCGTCCTTTCTTCAGGGCTTGCTCTCTCCCAGGAAGCCTCTGAGCCTCCTGCAAGGACATTCTCTGACAAGATCATTATTTCTTCAGAGGTGCCCAGAGAGGTCTGTCCAGCGTATGTGTAGACACAGCCCAGAGGCAAGCCCGGATGTGTGCACACACATATGTACCATCACATTCACACATGTGTGCACATATGCATGCAGACACATATACATGCACATGCACACATATCTTCGCTCTATCGCCCAGGCTGGAGTGTAGTGGCGCAATCTCGGCTCACTGCAAGCTCTGCCTCCCGGGTTCACGCCATTCTCCTGCCTCGGCCTCCCAAGTAGCTGGGACTACAGGTGCCCGTCACCCAAACCCGGCTAATTTTTTGTACTTTTAGTAGAGATGGGGTTTCACCATGTTAGCCAGGATGGTCTCAATCTTCTGACCTCGTGATCCGCCTGCCTCGGCCTCCCAAAGTGCTGGGATTACAGGGGTTGAGTCACCACATCCACCCTACCATCCACTTTTTATAACTGCTGATAAACATTTTCCTATATCATGAAACCATTTTCAGAAATAGGATTATAAACGGCTGTACACTAGGTCATCTTGTGGCTATGTATATTTCACCAGTCCTCTATGGTGGGTTATGTTATGTCGATTGCTTCCACTTTTACATGATAAATTATAACAGTAGAGAACATTTATGTACATTAGTCTTTCAACATATCTAATTCTTCCTTAGGAGAAAGTTCTAGAAATGAAATCTCCGAATAAAATATGAAAGATTATGAGGATACTGAAGTTTTTTGTTCCATACTTGAGGTCATTTTTTAATATAACTGAGTGATCATTAATTTACTTTACCCTCATCCCTCATCAAACTCTTGTCCTAGGTGAAAGTCAGCAGCAGGGCCCAGATGAGAACCAGGTCTCACAGGTCCCTAACCTGTTCTTTCTATTACATTGGGTGGCCTCTAAATTATCAGGGACTGGCCTGGAATCCTCTCTCAACAACAGAACATTTATGTTCAGTTTTTCAAACCATGCAATTGTGTCACTAAGTTGACACATTCCACTGGCAACATAAAGAGAAGAAAGGGGTGAAGAAGCCAAGCCTGGGTGGTCCTGATCACTCTAAGAATTCAGTCGGAGCGGAGCCCTTTCGTCTCTCTCAGGTTTAGGCAAGAACTGTCAGGGACATGGTAGACCCCAGATCTATGTAAGGAAAGAGAATCTAGAGATACATGAGAAGCAGAAAGGGTCCCAGTCTCCCAGGAGAGCCTCCTCAATGAATAATCTGAAGGCTTCTCAGTTAAATTGCTTAAACTTGTTCCCATAGAAATCATTACTTTAAGCAGAATAGGCTATGCCTTCTAACATTAAGCTTAAAATAATCTAAACATTGAGAGATTTTTGCATTAAGCTTATCTCAAATAATGCTTCTTTCATATAAAATTCTTGCATCTTAGGGCTGGGTGCAGTGGCTCATGCCTGTAATCCCAGCACTGTGGGAGGCCGAGGCGGGCAGATCACTTGAGGTTAGGAGTTCAAGACCAGCCTGGCCAACATGGGGAAACCCCATCTCTACGAAAAATACAAAAATTAGCCAGGCATGGTGGCAGGCGCCCGTAATCCCAGCTACTTGGGAGGCTGAGGCAGGAGAATTGCTTGAACCCAGGAGGTGGAGGTTGTAGTGAGCCGAGACCGCCCCACTGCACCCCAGTCTGAGCGACAAAGCAAGGCTCCAACTAAAAAAAAAAAAAAAAAACTTGCATCTTTCTGGCTGAGGATTTAAACTAAATACAACCTGCTTAAAATATGCACATAATAAATAATTTTACAAATTACAGCAGGATGACCACACAAGTTAGTACCTATATCAACAGAACAATGGAGGAAAATGATAAACATAACATCTCAACATCTCTAAAATGATAAAGTCTAAGCACAGCAAGTCAATAGCACACACCTTGGCAAAAGAAAATAGCCTTGTCTGGGCACGGTGGCTCATGCCTGTAAATCCCAGTACTTGGGGAGGCTGAGGCAGGAACATTGCTTGATGCCAGGAGTTCAAGCCCAGCCTGGGCAATATAGTAAGACCCCCTCATCGCCACAAAAAATAAAACATTAATCAGGCATGGTGGCACGCCCCTGTGGTACTAGTTATTTGGGAGGCTGAGGCTGAGGCAGGAGGATCACCTGAGACCAGAGGTCAAGGCTGCAATAAGCCATGACTGCACCACTGCACTCCAGCCTGGGTGACAGAGCAAATCCCTGTCTAAAACAACAACAACAACAACAACAAAAAACAGAACAAAAATAGCCTGACACGCTTTCAATGGGCAAAAATAGACAAGTCTGGCAATGCTGAGTACTGGAAAGGGTATAGGAAATAGGAAAACAGAAATGCTGCTGGTGGACACAAACTGGCACAGGCACTAATGGGAGCAGTTTACCCAGAGAAGCTGAAAATGGACACCCCGCCCCTGCTGAAATCAGTCAGGGTTCTCAGCTGCCTGGTTTAGGCAGAAGAGGAATGTGCTGAAGTTTATTTTCAAGAGGAGCAGAGAACTGCCTACTCAGGGATCCCCAACCAGGCGGCAGAAGCCTCCTCTGCTGCTGTCAGGGAGACCTCTGGGGAATCCGGTCCCCCAGGGGCAAGAGGCCTCTGCTGCCGCCCAGCAAGGATGGTTCCCCAAACACAGGAGTCCTAAACACTCCGACTCCGACGCCACGTGTGTGGTGGGTCTGCCTGCGGGCTAAGGGAAGCTGGTTTCTGTGCTGGGGACTGGAAAGGAATAACAAAGGACTCTCTAAGCACCAACAGTGTCGGGAAGATGAAGGAGGAGGAAATCACAAGATGTCTGGGATTTGCCTAAAATAACTCAGGGGAAGGGGCAGTGGCTGGGGACACAGAGGACCCTGGACTGGCTGCCTGAGGGTAACTGTTAACCTGGGGGTGGCACCGGCTCTCAGTATTCTAGTCCCTCCATGTTTGCATAGTTCTGAAATTTCCATAGTAAAAAAATTGTCTT